TCAAAAGCACATCTGTTTTTAAAAGAAGCACAACAGTCAAGGTCAGGGTGTTAACTGAGGTGAGAATCACACCACTTATCAGTGACAAAAATGAAAATTAGCGCCTATGTTTCTGTGTGTGTGTGTGAAAGAGAGAGACTCTGCTTACACACATGAATATGAATCCTCTTAGCAATACAGATAAACACCAGATGCATAAAGCAAGTTTTCTTGCAGTCACTCTGGGCAATTGCTGTCGTCACCTCTTTTTTTTCTGTGGGGAAAGGTTTTTTGCACATTAACATTTCAGACTGCGGAGTTACATTGATAAGGCCTAATTAAAACTCAGGCATTGAATTTTAATTTGATTAACTTGCACATCTTCTCCTCTCCTCTCTCTCTCTCTCTCTTTTCTGATCTCCTGTTTCTAGATAACCTTTTTTAATTCTGGTTTTGGAAAAGGTCAATTATGAATTTTTTAAAAGCCAAGAGCATTTTAAGAATACGTAGAGAGAGGCTATGGCTGATTGAAAGTGACATAAACAAGGAAAAGTGTAATGACACTTAAATATATGTCACACCCCATTAAATATGCCATGCGGCTTGGTCGGACCCCGGAGCCAAACAGCGCTACAGGCTGGAAGTCATTGTTGAAAATGCCCATTTGATTTTCGGATCCAATTATTATAATTTGACCATTCCACTTTGTAACTTGCTTGCTAGGTTCTTGTAAAAGTTGGGTGGTAAACTGGAATCTGTGTCAATGAGAGGTTTTACCTTCTTGGGCTCCATGATCACTGCAGATGGTGACAGCAGCCACGAAATTAAAAGACGCCTACTTATTGGGAGGAAAGCGATGATAAATCTAGACAGCATCTTAAAAGGAAGAGACATCAACTTGCCAACAAAAGTCCGCATAGTCAAAGCTATGGTTTTTCCCGTAGCAATGTATAGAAGTGAGAGCTGGACCATAAAGAAGGCTGACCACCAAAGAATTGATGCTTTTGAATTGTGGAGCTGGAGGAGACTCTTCAGAATCACATGGACTGCAAAGAGAACAAACCTATCTATTCTAAAGGAAATCAACCCTGAGTGCTCACTGGAAGGACAGATCCTGTAGCTGAGGCTCTGGTACTTTGGCCATCTCATGAGAAGAGAAGACTCCCTGGAAAAGACCCTTATGATGGGAAAGAGTGAAGGCAAGAGGAAAAGGGGATGACAGAGGATGAGATGGATGGATAGGGTCATCGAAGTGATGAACATGAATTTGACCCAACTCCAGGAGGGAGTGGAAGACAGGAGGGCCTGGCGTGCTCTGGTCCATGGGGTCGCAAAGAGTTGGACATGACTTAATGACTAAACAACAACAAAAACTGGAATCTAAGACTAGAATCTAGTTGATGGAAACCACACCCATAACAGCAGTCTGAGATTTTCAGGAAAGATGGGTTTTTTAAAAATATTTGACCAACTCTTACATCCAGAATTCATCTAGAATCCCCCTGGAGGAATTCTGGAAGTGAGGAAGCTTTTTTTTAAATATTTGACCAACTCTTACAGCCCCTGGAGGAATTCTGGAAGTGAGGAAGCACAAATGACAGGGAAAAAAGAGGTTTTCCCACTGCCATTCTACTCCATTCCATGTGTTTCAGATCCCGGCCGGTATATCCTTGTTATTTCTGCTCTCCCGCACTGAGAATTCTGCCTGGAATATTCCCGGTGGATTCTGGAGGCAGAAGTCCTTGAAATATGAAGATCCAATCCCAAATTTTCAGTGTTTGTGCAAGCTAGTCAGTACTCCTTGCACAAATAACCTCTGCTTCCGCAACAGGATTAAGTGGGTCTACTCTAGCGGGGGAGTTCACCCTGCCAGCAGTCAGTTTCCACCCCCTATGATTAGGAGTAGAACCGCCCCAGACACAATTCCAGCAAAGTTCAACAAATAATTTTAACAACAGTAGAATTAGGCAGAGGGAAGCCTACAGAAAAGGGGAAGTTGCTTGATAATCCATAGGGCCTTTTCCCAGGTCTACAGTGACTAAACTTTCAGAGGAAAGTCCTCATGGCAAGAGCAGAATTGACTGCCTTTGAAAGAGGTGTAAGTTCAACAAATAATTTAACAATAGTAGAATTAGTCAGAGGGAAGCCTACAGAAAAGGGGAAGATACTTGATAATCCATAGGGCCCTTTCCCAGGTCTACAGTGACTAAACTTTCAGAGGAAAGTCCTCATGGCAAGAGCAGAATTGACTGCCTTTGAAAGAGGTGGGCTGTCCTTCATGGGTGGCTTTTAAGAAGAGATTGGATGGCCATCTTCTGGGAGGAGCTAGCTATTGGCATCTTATGTTCATTGAGAGTTATATACTGTAGATCAGTGGTTCTTAACCTTTGTTACTCAGATGCTTTTGAACTGCAACTCCCAGAAACCCCAGTCAGGACAGCTGGTGGTGAAGGCTTCTGGGAGTTGCAGTCCAAAACTCCTGAGTCATCTTATGTTCATTGAGAGTTATATAGATGATCCTTAGGACCCTTGCAACTCTGCAGGTCTGTGACTCAATCCGTTCCTCACCCCTCAGAATCCCTATGCGCCTATGAGTTCTTCCAGACTTTGGGAAACAGTCAATGTGACCTGAGAACTTCTGAGTTATAGAAGTCAATGGGAATCCAGATTTCTGTGACTCTGGTTCATCAGAATCGGAAGACCTGTTTTGAACAATTCCTCCTTTTTTCATTTGACCAAAGAACCTTCTGCCTAATATTTCTATACAATGTGGTAGGTCTGTCTATAGAAGTGCCAGGCAACCTTTAGACCTAAGAAAATGTTTAATAAAGGTAATGCACTCCTTTTTCACTTGGCAAGAATGTGCTGGAAATAATTCTGGGAACAGCAAACTGAGGGTTGGCTGAGCACGTTCATATGAAAGTGATGGAATTGCAGTTAAGAATTCTCTCTGTCATAGGCAACCTGACATTCAAGATAATGTCTTGCTTCAGACATAGCTTCTGATGTTGATGTATCGGTGGAAAGCGAGTCATGGCTTAAAGAGTTGGTGCACCAAACTAATGCCACAGCATGCAACTACAAATGTGTATGAAATTGAACATATGTGCAGTTCCATTCAGTTTTATTATTATTTATTAGGCAGTCACAGACCTGTCGAGAAGACAAACGGATCATCAAAGTCATATTCTCATGGAGAAATAAGGCCAAACATGTAAAATGTAGGCATCAAGTGGGAAAGGAAGCAGATAGATTAATGTCTATTGATGTTCCTGGATGCATAATCCTGAAAATGTCACCGCGGGACCAAAGGGAAGTGTGTGGGAGGGGAGATATAAGAAGATGGAAAGAAAAATTATAGCGGCAAAAGTGAAAAGGAACACAAGAAAAGCAAAGTGTGCTACTTATATACCACCCCATAATGCTTAAAGCACTCACAGGGATTCTGGAGTAGAGATGGGCATGTTTGGAGATCTAACCCAATTTGTCATTGTGCTCACACAGGCGCTGTGCACAAACAATGCCCTCCCTCTGCCTCCCCTGCACACCAGCCCATTCCTCAGGTGACATGTGCTTCCCTCCCCACCTCCCCAGTGTAACTCCCCACTCACCTCTTGCAGCATGCTCTTCCCTCTTCCACCTCCTCCGTCAGCCGCCCACTCAGACAAGTGGGGCAGGGATTCCTAAACTGATATTTTTGACTGGGTGGCTGATGGAGGAGGTGGAGGAGGGAGGCATACATCACCTGAAGAATGGGCCAGCATTCAGGGAAGGAAGGAGGGCACCATGCCTGCACCATGCCTCTGCAAGTGTGGTGACCAATTGGGCCAGACCTCCAAAATGAGGTTTGTGCCTGTTTCTATTCTGGAGTCAAAAAAGTGTGAGTCAGAATTAAGTATGGCTGGAGACCTCAGAAAAAGTTTTAGAAGGATTTTGCTCTGCTCATAAACCTTGAGGGCTTTTTAAAAAATAATGTTCAAGACACGCCCCCACATACAAACCCCTCTTTTGTGTGTGCCTGAAAGCAGTTTGGGCAAACCTGTGCTATGGAATGAAAGTACCTTCTCCAGCTGGAGATCTTCCTGTCCTAAGGATCTGCTCTAGCCAGTTGATGGAGAATTGAGGCAATGGAGCCGTTGAAGTTGACCAGTTGAATGAGAAGTCTATGCAGAATTGAGGCAATGGAGCCGTTGAAGTTGGACGGTCAAAACACTGCCAAGTCCTTGCTTGTTCTGTGGACCTGGAATAAGATTTTAGGTCTGATAGATTGTAGTTTTTTCCTGCCTTTGTTTGCTGATAAGATGAGGGACAGTTAACAGTTCTTGCACCAAGGAGCTTCACTACAGGCCATAACAGCTCACCAAACCCTCATGGCAGCTTTGAGCATTGGCTTCTCCATATGGTTTTTGAGTGAGCTGAATGAGCTTACCTTCTGTCTGATTCCATGACCACTATCTGGAGAAAAGATGGGATGATGCAAAAGTAATCCTGCAGTCAGTTATAGTATACTACGGGCAAAAAGGTTTTGGAATTGTTGTAGATCAGAAGCTGAATATGAGCCAACAGTGAGATGTGGCTGCAAAAAAAGCCTGCACTAGGATGCATTAATGTAAGTATAGTCTCCAAATCCCATGAGATATTATTCCCTAGGTCAGTGACGGTGAACCTTTCTGAGCCCGAGTGCCCAAAATGAAACAAACAAAAAACCCATTACGTTGTGGGAAATATCAGAACTAGGCGTAGCTAAGGTTGCTCCCTTTGTACTTTCAAAAGCCAAGATTTCAAATCCGGAAGGTGAAAACACAGATTTTGGGTTTCTGAAACCATTGCTGTCTCTTGGGAATAATACAAATGGCACAAAGAGACTATTCCAACCCATCTTTATTCAAGCTAGAAGATTCAACTCTTGTGAACTGGTTTCTCTGGTTATGCAGAAGTAGTGGGTAGATAATTGACCACATTTGTTCCTGAGAAGCATTCATTTTAAAGAAAAGAAAAAGTGTGTGTTTGTTTTAATGCAGGCAATCATGGCGCAGCTTCCGCAGGAGGAGAAGGCTAAGATAGCTGAGCAGGTAGAGATATTCCACCAAGAAAAGAGCAAACTGGATGCAGAAGTGGCCAAGTGGGACGACAGTGGCAATGATATCATTGTACTTGCTAAGCAGATGTGCATGATCATGATGGAAATGACAGACTTCACAAGGTATGTATTTATCAGGCTCATCTTCGTGCAGGAAGCTTTTCTTTCTTGACCTACAGCTTCTAAGTTTCTGATTCTGGGAGCTATACTCAAAAACAATACCATTTCTAAGCTCTGCCACTATGAAGGCCATTGATGAGGAATCAACTCATGCCCAACACAGAATCCCAATGGGATGAAACCAGATGCATGAATTCATATTGGGCAAACCTTTCAGATGTAAATCATGACTTAGTTGATCCTCATGTGTTTAAAGATGGAAGTGTATCCCTCAGAATAATATTCTTCTTGAAAATGAAGCTTGCTTTTGGTGGTAGTGGTGGTGAGGGATGGGTCTCGAAAGAATGTGTGCATTTGTGAGGGAGCTTTTCTGCAATTTTACAAAATTCAGAGCAGCTGTACTACTGCCTTGTTGCTGAACTGACTATTTAAAAAGAAGAAGCATAGTTGGCTGGTTCGCATCTTTGTGAGCAACCGATGTGCTTGCTGTATGTGTGTGCCTGGCTTCAGAACGGAGAAAGCAGAAATGCTCTGTAGAAATGAATTAAACTGCAAAAAAGAGTGCTACATTTCTGGGTTTTGCCCAGGAGGTAAGATTCTTCACAGCTGGAAAACCCTCTGCAGAATAAATCTTGCTATGTCAAGATTCCTCAAAGATGAATGAGAAATCTGAAATATTTCTTCATATCTGTAGCAGAAGGACTGAGCCCTGACTTTGAAAGTGAGTATTGAAGAGAACAACGGAGCAGTAAAGTAGACTGGGTGCAAGATGGCTTGAAACCTAATTGCCCACAGCCCTACAACCCAGCCCTGGTCTCTGAAATGGAAATCCTTCTCCTAGACAGCTACTTCTTTTCTCAATGTTTCACTCTAAATTGATGAAGATACTTCCAGTGGCACTGGTAGAGTCCTCTTCTGGGTAGCGGATTGAGCTACAAACCCCATCATTGCTATCGGAAAACAAGACTTGCCATTTCTGCCAGGGATTGTGGCGGTTGTAGTTCAGGTTGCAATTCAACTTGGCACTCTTCAGTAGAAGAAGCTGCTGGGAGCATCATTGTGCTTCCAGTATCAACTTCCATTTAAAATCAAGCATTAAGACCAGTAGCCCCTTCCCACCTTTGGAGGAGATGCCTCTCCTTGCAACCAGGACAGAGTCAACCTCCACGATTCCCATCAAAAAGAAAGAGATATATTGCTAGAATCAGCTGTATGTGGTCTTACATGATACAGACAACTGGCCGAAGTGAATGCCCTATTTCCCTGAAAATAAGACCTAATTTGCTAGAATCAGCTGTATGTGGTCTTACTGTGCATGATACAGACAACTGGCCAAGGTGAATGCCCTATTTCCCTGAAAATAAAGACCTAACCTGAAAATAAGCCCTACTGTAATTTTCCAGGATGCTCGTAATATAAGCCCTACCCCCAAAATAAGTTAATTGAAACCCCACCTTCCACCATTATGCAGCCACCAGAAGAAGAGGACATGACTGTATTTGAATAAATATAGATTGCTGTACATGAAAAAAATCCCCTGAAAATAAGCCCTCATGTGTTTTTTGGAGCAGAAATGAATATAAGACCCTGTCTTATTTTCAGGGAAACACAGTAAATGGATTGGTCAGGTGTCTGCATGAAATACTGTTGGGAAAATTGTTTTTTGTTATTTCCTTAGCTTGCAGAGTAAGAAATGTGGAGAAATTAGCTAAATCTCATTAATACCTCTCCCCCAAAGTTGTATGTTTTTGGTATAGAATTACTCTAGAAGCATTTAAAGTAGAAAAGAAGGCATCTTTTATTACAGTGCTGTCTATAGTTACAGTCAGAAGGCGGTGGAAAAGAAAAAAGAGGAGAGATGAGTCTCAGCCATGTGGGAGACAGACCCTCTGTGCTGGCCCCATGGCTGGAGATCAGGAATGGAGAGAGATTAAAAAAAAAAAAAAAGGGTTCAGCCATGTGGGAGACAGACCCTCCGTGCTGGCCCCATGGTTGGAGATCAGGAATGGAGAGAGACTAAAAAACAAAAACAAAAGGAAGTAACGCAGACGAACAGGAAGACGGGAGGAGCAAGCAGAGGTGGGGAAAAGAAGGTTACCAATAAGTTAATGGCAGAGGATAATCACCATAGATTGTGAAGAGCTCCTCCCACTGATACCCAGTGTTAGGGCATGCAAGGTTGTTATTATCTCAATAAATACTGCCAGCAAATCCTCTTAACAACACTTTGGCATCTATGATGGAGAAAAAGGAAGATATGACTGTCATAAATAGATGGCAGAAATCTTCACGCAGAATTTGAAAGCACCCTTAGCTTAGAAACGTTCTCCTTGAGGTGAACATCTTCTGTGGTCGGGGTGAGCCCCCCAACTACATACAGACATTATGCAGGCCAAACACAGGCCAACTTCCTGGAAAAAAAACTGAGATCTTACGTCTTATCTGGGTGTGTGAAAGGATCTTCAAGTTACTTCCTTTGAAGGTGGAACAACATAATTTATGAATAGAAACTTTGCTCTAGAAATGAAAATATGTTTGATTGGCTGCAAGCATTTTTGTTTCTGGTGCAGAATCCAGTGATATTTCCCCAGCATTCCTCTTGACTGATCTTGCCTTGCAGCTTCTCCCATGAGCATTAAGCTCGTAGGAATGAATTCCTGACAGGGCACCTGTTCACTTTGGGAGTAATGTTCAGCTTCCGATACCTGCCTCAGCAGCAATGAAATGTATGTGCCTTTCTGAGTGTCCAGCTTTTCTAGGAATCACCTACAGTGATGAAAACTCAAATGGCTCTGTTGGCAGAGAGATCAAAGAATGGGAAATGTTACCACTATAGTATCTCCACTGAGGCTCAGTGATATTCCATTCAGATGATGACTTCCCAGATCTAGTATTCAGTACTCTGTCACAGAATAGGGAAGAGTCTAGAGCAACTTGCTTAAAATGAAAAGCAAAGCAGGCAACAAAAACTTACAACTGATTTTGAGGAGGCCTACTGTGCGGGGCCTGGTATTCTTGTATGGCACAGAGTCGTGGACTTTAGCACAGACTAGAAGCAGTTTAAATGTGGATTTATCAGAAGGTATGAACAATTCCTTGGATCAAGACAGTGAGCCACGAAGAAGAATTAAAACAGCTGAATAAAGACTAGCAAACTCACAAAATACAGAAGCCTAGAATATTGCGGTTCATATACTGAAAAAGGGAAAAAAATACATATTCCTACCACTGATCATTCAAACTAAAATAAACAGGAAAGGAAGTAGAGGAAGAATTACTGGCAGAAAAAACATGGAGACTGGTTTGACTGCAGATGTACCTCATGGTGTAGATCTGCCACATCCATTGCTGAACTGGACAACTTGACATGCAGCCTCCAGTAGGAGAGGAATGAGTGGCAGCAGAAAGAAGTACACCATTTCTGAACATGACTGCAGGAACGATGTTCCCTCTTATGTTTTTTTTCACTGGCCAGGCTAAATGTTCCTTCAGCTAAGAACACGTCCATTGATGTCTCCCACCGGACTGAGAGAACCACCATGATTTTTGAACTGCAGGAATTCAGAAGCACAGTCTGGAATGGTGGAGAAGTCACTGTGCCCCTCGCCTTTATATATATGTGTACCTTGTACCTTTCTTTCCCTAGATTGTGTTTATCTTGTAAGGTGTTAACACAAAGAGAGAAAGAGAGAAAGAGGGAGGGGGGAGGGAAGGCAGGTTGGGAAGGCTCCAATATGTGTAGGGAACAATTATCGAGAAGTCCAAATGCAGTTCTTTCACCCATTTCATTCCACTGCTGAATTTTCTTTTGAACACAATACTTTTTGACCTTGAAAAACGCTTTAATTTTGATACAGATATGCTGTCTAAGAAATTTCACACCCATGGCACAATTCCTCAAGAGCGACAATGTATTCTGTACTTATTCTGATGAATTGTTAAATAAGGAGACAAGGTTCTTATCTTAGCTAGGGTTATATATTCAGAGATGCAAGAAGGTTGTGTTTTTTAACTCCTTAACTGTAACTCCAGCAACAACCCAAACAGCGTAGCCTCCCTGAATCTAATGGAACTCGGCTGCCATTTTCACCTCTTTTTGTCTTGAGCTCCCCGCCCATCCATGGTGGTCATTCCAAACATCCCGTGAAGCTTGCTCCCTGCCCTTCTTTTCCCCGCTGAATCGACTTGGCCCATTTTTGGATCTGGCATGCCAGCTTTTTACATTAAGTGCTGCTCAGGGAATAACAAGAATTTGGGGGGAAAAATTGCATTCCTCCAGAGACACTGTCTTAATGAGCACTTAAAAATGCACATACTATTAACATCATTCATGAGCTTGGAGGCAAAAATCAAAAAAAAAAAGCGCTGGCAAAGCATTTTTGGAGGATACGCAGAAATCCAGAAGGCCTCTCCACCACCCCCAGTCTCCTCATCAAACTGTGCTATAATAAGGTGATGTTTTGCTAAATTGGGAAGACAGTCATACTACCATTCTTAGGAAGAAGAAATAAAAACTGTTCTTAGGGCTACTCACTCTATTAATTCCCATAATTTAATTAGATGGGACTCCCAATGCCTTATGTTTTCTAGGGGGAAAGGACCATTAAAGAACACGTCGGATGTCATTAACGCGGCCAAGAAGATCGCAGAAGCAGGTTCGAGGATGGACAAATTGGCCCGTGCTGTAGCCGATCAGGTACTGGAATTGTCGTAGATCACAAGCTGAATATGAGCCAACAGTGTGATGTGGCTGCAACAAAAGGCAAACGTTATTTTAGGCTGCATTAAGAGAAGTATAGTTTCCAAATCCTGCAAGGTGCTAGTCCCTCTCTATTCAGCACTGGTTAGGCCTCATCTTGAGTACTGTGTCCAGTTCTGGATGCCACACTTCAAGGAGGATGCTAACAAACTGGAACAAGTTCAGAGGAGGGAAAGGAGGATGATCAGGGAGCTGGAAACCAAGCCCTGTGAGGAAAGATGGAATGAACTGGGCATGTTTAGCCTTGAGAAAAGAAGACTGAGGGGTGATAGGATAAGACTTTTCAAATACTAGAAAGGCTGTCACACAGAGGAGGTGCAGAATCTGTTCTCCATCATCCCAGAGTGCAGGAGACGCAATGATGGGCTAAAGTTACTGAATACCAGATTTTGGTTGAATATCAGGGGGAAACTTCCTAACTGTTAGAGAAGTACGACAATGGAACCAATGACCTTGAGAGGTGGTAAGTGCTCCCATACTGGAGGCATTCAAGAGAAATTTAGACAACCACCTGGCAGATATCCTTTGATTTTATTTCCTGCATCAATTGGTGGGTTGGACTTGATGGCCTTACAGGTCCCTGGGGAGTTGGACTTGATGGCCTTACAGGTCGCTTCTTACTTCACTATTCTAAGATTCTATGATTTGTCCTTCAAAAACAAGATTACTTCACTATTCTACGATTCTATGATTTGTCCTTCAAAAACAAGAACCTAGGAAGCTGGCCTGCACTGAAAATCAGACCACAAATCTGTCTGGTCTAGGGATACCAAGCAGAATTCTTTCCTAGCTCTACCTAGATATGTCAGTTCATTCCCTGGTGGATTCTTATCCAAGAACTGACCAGGCTTGACCCGGCTCAGTGGGTGAAGTCAGGTGAGACTGGATACGTTCAAAGTGGCATGGTGGACATGAACATAGCCACCAGAAACAACCGCCAAAGTTGTTTGCCCTAGGGGTACAGAGATTATACAGAGTTCGTCCGATATAGGTCCTTAAAGCAGGAAGCAAAATGGTTTTCATTGTAGAGGGCTGCATCAAATCTTGGCTGGTACATGGGTGGCACCACATGCCCATGCAGAGACATAATCACACACACAAGCACCATTCACGAGACTCTGCCTGTGCATGAATGTTTACACTTTCGCACTCTGCAGGTGAATATGCTCCCTACACTTCAGTGTGCACACATACACAGACATACACACACACACACACGGCATACAGATGTTCCCCTACTAGTGCATACCTCTTCAACACATCTGTCAGCAACTTTTATGGTGATCAAGCCTTTTTTCTCTTAGATTGGTCACTGGAAGGTAAACACAAGCATAATTTGCAAGTCCTAATGGCTGAGGTATCCCCATCAACAGAGGGAAAATGTTTTCAGACACTTTTTCTTGAATGTCTCTTTTGATCCAAAGATAGTTAGCTTTTTCCAAACTTTAGTGACTGAGAAGCAGAGATCAGAATATATTATTCTTGCACTACAATTTTTGACTCCCAGAATCCACCAGGAATTCCTCCAGCCAGGATACTGGTGGTTGTAACCAAAATATTAACATCATCAGAGGAGTTTCAATCTTCATATCTACTCTGAGCAAGTCTTCCTCTGTAGCCACTCATATGTGCCTGAAGTAGAAGGAAAGGGTGGGATTGGCTAAACTCCATGGGAGCTGCAAGGGATTTAGGGACTGGTAGTCTCCCTAACTATTGGCTCTTCAGGCAAATAATGGGGGCTTCAGAGGGAGCTTTGCCAGGGCACGGGTGTTAGTACTGAAACTCCTCTGTAGATTCGGCTTTAGCTACAATTCCAGAAATCTGGCTGGTGAAATTCCTAGCAAATTCTGGCAACCATGGTCAAAAAAATATGAAAGCTCCTTGCCTAACTAGCACGGTCATTGGCTTTTAAAAAATCTCTCCTCTCTAACTCTGGCTGAAATCCTATTCCGCAATTATACAAAAGGCATAACTTTTAGTGGTGAATTGTCATGAGGTAAGAAATCTTCTTAAGCATTATCTGTTGCACACTAAGTTGTGCAACAGGATCTCATCCTTTGTGACCTTCCTCCATTTCCCACAGCTATGCCAACATTTTATATTTAACCATGGTTTGAGGAACCACAGTGTAGCCTCAAACCATCACTGCCAACGTTCTGGATGAAGCTGCTTAAACGTAGATCTAACCATGGGATGGTACATTTGTAAGACAATGCCAATAACGGTCAACACAGAAGAGGACCTGCAAGCACCAAAACAGGAACTCCCCTGAGCATTTCAAGGACAATTTTTTATATAAGTCAGTTTCTGTGAGATCTTAAAAAGTAATATGTGATAACATGATTTAATAGCAATGAATTATGTAACGTGTTGTATCATGTTGATTTAATTTGCCTTCGGGTGAAGAGCTATCCTTGGAAGGCAAAGGGCAGCAAAGCCGCTTAAAATTGATTTTTAAGTGAACCCACACTTTTGTTATATGGCTGTCCTTAATGCTACAGAGATCATCCTTCTGGTTTGTTTGTTTGTTTTCTTTTGCTTTTGTTTCCTCAACATTAATCACCAACATCTATTTTATTTACTTTCCAGTTATTATGACTAACCAAATAGAATTTGTTTTGCTGTGCATAGCTTCCAAACTTTTCAAAAAAAGTCAATTTCTTCCCCTCTGTTCAGTAGGAAAACTACGGCTCCCATATATTCAAATTGGGGCGCCCACAGCTTGTAGCAGTGATGGAGGTTTCTTCTTTCAAGACTTGGATGGAACTACCGAGCATCCCCCTCAACATCAGAGACTCTTCTCCATGTGTATTTGTTAAATTAGTTCATGCCCTAAAGATGAGGGTCTATCATTTAATGCAAGCCTTCCATGTTGGCTGTTTCTGCATTGTTTCGAGGGTGAATTCTCAAGGGATGTAACTCATGTGGAGAGGTTAACAGCCTTCTTGTCGTCAGATGGTTTTGTGATAACAGAAAAGATAGGATTAGTGCACTCCCTTGACATATGAATAGGGATCTGGAGCCATTTTCAAAATGAAGAAAAAGGCTGTGCAGTTCTTATTTAAATCCAAAGACATGGGTCACTAAAATATCAAATACTGGCAAGTTTTGGGGTCCTGAAAGATCCTTCATTGGGTCGGGTATTACAGAAGGTGGGGAGAGCATCGAAAAGGAGAACAAAGAGGGCTGGGCAGGGCAGTCTCCACCAATCATATGGGAGACAACCGTGTAAGTAACAACTCAGGAGTGCTTCATACACAAACACTAGCTGGGATTTGCTCTAATGCCCTGAAAAGAAGCCACTGGCAATGGTGCGGCTAAAAAATATTGTACACCCTGAAAAGAGCATGGAAAGGCATACGTGTTTGCCTGTCAGTGAGTCAAGGGAGCATCCAAAGTGGCAGTGAGTGTGGAAAGGCATATGTGTTTGCCTGTCTGTGAGTCAAGGGAGCATCCAAAGTGGCAGTTCAAGGTGGGATCTCATGGTGCTGATAACAGCATAGATCCCCTTTGGGAAGCTCCCTTCCTTTTATAGATGCTTAACAATTTTGGGGTCAGGGGGAAGATTTCCCGAGAGTTCTCTGTGATCAGTACTGAAAAATCAGGTTCATACCAAGGCCGCCCACAAAGAACTCAATTACTGCTCCTCGTGAATGACGCAGAAATCAGGGCATCGATTGGACAACGTGGGAGGACAGAATTATTGGAGGCATAGGGGTTTTTTTCAAAAAAAGTGGAAGACGACTGGTCCTTCTTTAGAGTTTCAAATATAATGACATAGAAGTTTTGAGCCCCCCCAAGGCAAAGTAAAGTTTATATGGACCGTTGAATTTTTAATTATTTTGAGAGAGAGAGAGAAAGAGAGAGAGATTATTTTTTTTTCAAAAAAAGTGGAAGACAACTGGTCCTTCTTTAGAGATTCAAATATAATGACATCTTATAGAGGTTTTGAGCCCCTCCAAGGCAAAGTAAAGTTTATATGGACTGTTGAATTTTTAATTACTGAGAGAGAGAAAGAGAGAGAGAGATCATAAGTTTTAATTTGCTGCAAACCTACTACTATTTAAATGCTACATCAGCTCTCCAGGGAGTTTGTTTTAAAGTTTCTTTCTGAAACGAGGCCTCCAGAGGAGAATAAATATGACTCCAGTAAATGGCTACTAAGTGGAGTAATGCCTCCTTGGGATTTACACTTGAAAGATGTGGCAACAGTTGGAGAAAGCGAGGGGGCGGAAAGAAAGGGACTAATTTCATGGCATTATCATATACACAGAGGCAGAGATTATCCTTAACTACCCTAGAGAATTCTCTCAGCATTGGCTTTATTGATTTAGGAGGGAAAATAAGTAGTATAATTGCTGCGAGGGCACCAGCCTCTCCACTCAGTTTTCTTTCAAATCTTTATCAACCCCCTTCTTTCCATCTGTACAGTTCTTTCCATCACATCGGATTCCAAATTTTCATTTTGTTCAGTCTCTCCCATTGTTTAGAATTCTGCCCTTTGGTCTAGGGGATGGCTCACAATTTTGTTAGCTTTCTTGCTTGGGAAGAAATTAGATTCAGTGTAGAGAACTTTAGGGTGAGAATTCTTCAGCTTTGAATGCTGATATGTGCAGCCATATTAATATTAACGTTTCCCACGTTAGGTGGATAGAGTTTGTCCCGATCTGGCAGGCACAAAAGGGGATTCTGTAGACCATCTTGATTACTGCCATTGGTACTGTTGACATTAATTTTAAAAGTAAGGGAACACCCTCTCCCTTTTCATCACCCAGATATGAACACAACAAATGCTAAAGACTGCATTGGTCTTATTCTCAAATAAAAGGGGAAAATATTCCAAATCCTTCCTGTTTCCACAGGCTGTGCAAGGGAACCTGAAAGATTGGGGGGGACTGAATGTAGAGGGGAGGTTTACTGCATGAAGACATGGGAAAGGCTATTGTATGAGAAGGAGCGACTGGTGACATTAAGAGCTACAAGCAGCTCAAATACCTTTTGGAGACCATATCACCTGAACATGGGCTGCACCCATGAATAAAGTCACCAACCCACCCAGCCCTGATGAAGGAATGAATCCACCTCTTCTACTCACATAGAGGTTTCCCCTGTGCACCAAAGCCAGGCTCAGGACTAGATGTTTTTTCCTCCCCTGGGAGGTGAACTGGTTAAAAGGGATAGGGGAGAAATTCTGCCTGCAACCTTTGCTTTTCCTGCTGTCTTGCCTTCAGCAGAAGGATGAGGGCCGGTGGAGACCCTTGCAGAAGACAAATTGCCTCCATCAGTATTGCTTCCGAGATCCTTTTTCAACGTGATGAAATATAGACACGAGGCACAAGTTTAAGTAACAAACTATTTCTAATAACTAGTGAATAATTTAAGTGTGAATAAAATTTAAAGTGCAGCGCCTTCCCCTTAACCAAAAAGCTAACACAATTGGGGTATAACTGGTGTGTTTCTGTAAATGGTTAACGTCAACACCTAAGCAGTAAGACCTTTGCAATCATTGTTAAAATAGCTTAAACAAATCAGCATAAAGGTACTATGCTAGTTTTTGCCAATGTAGAGAATCCAACAGATATTTCAGTAATAATGATATCACTGACTGGAGGAAGTACAAGTAAATAACATACTATGCTTCGGTAAAATGTTATTATTAGTGCAAACTGAGCCGTGTCCTGAAAAAATGACTACAGATATTACTCTGTCTGCTTTACAGCTCATCAGGTAACTGACAAACAGCGCTGATGATGTTCTTTTTGTGCTTTAATTCACAGTCTACAGCTATAGGGGAGAACCAGCTCTTGCGTAATACACAGCGAAAGGGGTTAAGCAAAACAAATACTTCTTGTAGGGTTTTGGCCAGCCTGCAGCTTCTCCCTTGCAGGTAAATCAAAGGCGTGCTCTTTATCTCTTGTTTCCTTTACAGTGTCCTGATTCGGCCTGCAAGCAAGACCTTTTAGCCTACCTCCAGCGCATTGCCCTTTACTGTCACCAGCTCAACATCTGTAGCAAAGTGAAGGCGGAAGTCCAGAACTTGGGAGGCGAACTTATCGTGTCTGGGGTAAGCCAGCACCTGTTTCACCCTATTCCTGCCCTGCTTCTTATCTTTATAAATGATTTTTCCCCTTTCCTTCTTTGGGGGTTGGCTGTAGTACGAAGATGGGTAATACATAACAAATCCCAACCGAGTTTTTGTCATTGTTATCCTTGTTCAAAAGATATGTCACTATTATTATTATACAGGTTATCACCCTGATAAGGTCCTTATTACTCTCAGGGGCTCTGTGTTATGTTAACAAGAGCCAAAAAGCTAGGAGTTCCTTTGTCCTCTGAGAATTAAGAGCAGAATGTAGAAACCTTACCCTTCTTTTTTCTTTTTCTTCTTTCCTTTTTTTTAAAAATTACTGTTCCCAGAGGTCCTCAGTGTGAGCAGTGGTCATGCTGGCTACTGGGTTCCTCCAAACTCTGATCAAGAGAGATGTAGGCAGAATTTTGCCCTGATTGTACCCTCTTGAAGCCACACTGATATCTTTCATGCCAGTGTGAGTTTCAGCAGACACCTCATGAGACCTGACGGTTGGTGCATGGCAGTTAACCACTCAGATTAGCACACGAGTGACCAACCGAGGTCCACAAGAAAACAGATGTATGGGTCAGGATTCCGGCGGCCACAGTGAGCTTCTCAGTTATCCAGTGTCTCCCCATCCCCAGCAATTCTCTACTTCATCTAGTAAAATGGACTCCTACAAATGGCAGTCATGCAAATGAATATAAGCGTCAAGCCATGTATATTATAATGAATTGAACCTTTTGCATCTATTGGTTTCTTTGCAAGTTCGCTTTCTTTGGGGATTCACACTTGTTTCTCCTTCAGAGAGAATAAGGTGGTTCTCATTTGTGTCAGAGTTCCATTTCTTGTTGAAGTAGAGCTTGGAAGGTTACTTTTTTGGGATAAACTCCCAGAATCCCAGAGATAGCACGGCCCGCTGTCCCTTTTGTTTTCGTTTGTTGGGACTCTAAATTCAAAAAATTCTCTACTTTGGGAATTCCGTCCCCCAGACCCAGATCTGAGTTGCCTGGAAGGCTTCGTAGCCCAGGCGAGGCCAAAGATATGGTTCAGCTGCCTGTTAGAAATCCCCCATCAAACCCTGGGAGAGCTTGACCTACCCTAAGCCATGAAGCCTTCCAGCTTGGCCTTTTTCTGCATGGGCTTAATCTAGATCTGGGTCTGGCGGGCATTCGGAATGCCTATTGTAGAATCCTGAGATTAGAAGTCTGAACAAAGCCGATGGCCCACCCTTCCTATACACCCTTCCCAAAGGATGCTGGGATTTATAATCCAAAAATATTATTTTTTCATAGGACAGGTTTCATTAGTTTGCCCTCACTGAGGGTCCTGTACATTCTACACTGAATGGATAACAATTCCCAGGATGAAATTGAAAAAAAAAAACATTTTGAATTAGGAAAAAACAAAATCAAACATGTAGTTTTAAAACACTCATAAAACACACTCCTTTGTTGCCCAGACATGGCGTTTCCCTTGCACAGTAATTCTGAAGCCGTTTCCAGAAAGCCATCCCAATGACTATTCATGGCCAGTTTTTTTTTAATTTTTCCCTCTCTGTGAAGTAACGTTGCAGTAATCCAACTAGGTGGACAGGGACCAAAAAAGTTAATTTTAGAATAGAGTAAAACCGTGCAGACTGTTTGTAGGTTGGCCTTTCGCCATGACCTAAATCCAGTTCCTGACATCCAGTCGCACTCTAGTGTGACCATCAAAGAGAGCACAGAATGGAGGCATACGAAAATAGGAACAAGTTCCATTGACAGGTTATTTGCAACATCTGTTCTGGTAGTATCTCAAATGTACCTTTTTACTTTCTTCCAGATATATATGAATGATTCCCCTGGGGCAAAGTAAAGGGCTACACTCAAAGATAACAGTGCCACAAGGAGGGTGTCACATTGGATCCCTGTATTAAAAGAAAAGCAGGATAGAAAATAAATAAATTCAATTAAAAAAATGAAGCCTAGAATCACTTCACCTAGCCCAGCTCTGGAAGGCCAATTTATCCTTGACATACTTCCCATGGTGTGTGCCCAAAGTCTCTCTTTCGCGCACACATGCAAACGTTCCTCAGTCCTCGCACTGCGTCGACCGCCCTTCCCTACACACGCACGCAACGCCAGGGATTTTGTTATTGTATACCTGTGAATGGGTTTGGAACATCCAAGCTGAACAACTGTGGTGAAAGCACCTTTGTCCTCCGGCCAAAAGGTCCCGCTTGAATGTGTTGTGCTTTTCCTTCCTCTCCTCTATTTCTTGAACCACTGGCGGAGTGTGGTAGTTTGACGGTCTGACCCGCTGTAGAACTACCCTTCCATCTGTAGCTCTCTCTCTCTTTCTCTCTCTCTTCAGATCTTTCTCCTTTATACCTGCTGGCATACCCGGACCTGCTTCCCATTCTCATTAATTACAGCCACCCCTCCCCCACCTGCCTCCAATCAACTCTGCCAGTCAGCACGTGCATTGGCTTGGCTGTTGTGCTTTCTTTTGCGTTTCTGTCTCTGCTCTTGTCACCGCCCGCCGACGCCGGCGTGGGGCCCTCGGCTCCGACTGCTTGCATCCGTTGTCGTTGGCATGACCATCCCATGCTGTGAAATTGAAGCAGCCAAACTGTTTGACTTCTTTATCCCCAGTTTGGTAGCCCTCCGCATCTGTTGCTTCCAAACTTCCATCACTACACCGTCTTTATTCGTTTTTTTACACCACCACCCCCTTCATTCAGCCATAAACCCAAACGCCATCTTTATGAATAATGAATTTCCTTTGGCATTGCCATTCGCAATGTGTGTTGGAAGCCAAAACCCAAATCCAGAGGCTGTTGGTGTCGGCTTTCCTTCATCTCTCTCATATGAAATGTTAATAGGAAGATTTGCTTTCTTTTTTGTTCTTTTGGAGAGTATTGTTTCTGTATATTTAAGAAACCTCCATGAGCGCCATACCTTTCTGGCAGTCGGTAATTTGTTGCTTCAAAGTGCTGGTACTGTATGCTCCAGGACTATCCAGAGATCTGGAACCCCACTTCATCTGTGGCTTTGCGGCCGACTTCCTGCTTTCTGCTTCCATCTTGTTCTTCATTCTCTCTTGGATAGCCAGTTGCAAATAAACTGTTTTTTATTTGCATATCACAACCAAGTGTCATTGCTCTGAAACTTGCATACAGTACAGAGCTCATGGTCTCTCCCAAAGCACTACAGTTGGAAAAACCCATTTTATGTTTTAATATTTGTGGCCCACCATCTCTCCACGGGCTTAGGCCAGCTAGCAAGATCACACAGGGGTACGTTCTCCAAAGGAGACACGAGCATGCATGTGTTCTCATTTGATGATCTTCGAACTTAAAATATCTTTGCATTCATTGACATTTCCAGCATCCTTGAGGCTGGAGAACTGTAGAACTAGTTGGTGAAAAGCTATATATTTTTCTGCAATTAAAAAATAATAATCTTTGTGGTCTTCGATCAGGATCCAGGTTGGAAACATGGCCTCCCATGGAGTTTTCATTTAATTAAATGGCAAATAATATACAGTATTTAAAAAACCTAGATCTGATCATGAGAAGTTGCAGTAAGTCAAATAAAGATGAGACTAGACCAGTGTTCCCAACCTCAGGTAACCCAAATGTTCCTGGACTACAGTTCCCAGAAGCCTTTACCACTAGCTGTGCTGGCCAGGGTTTCTGGGACCTGCAGTCCAAGAACACCTAGGTGACCCAAGGTTTGGAATCACTGGACTAGACAGACTTGTGGGGGTACCGGTGTTTTGCAAACTAGATTTGTACATTTGTTTCAGTATAATTGAAATGTGAAGAGATGGACAACGGAGTGGTGCCAATTGGGAATGTACCCCGCAATGTGCAGTTTGCTATATATGTGATTTAGTAACTTGAAATGCGAGAAAACCCTAGATTACACATCCAGGAGCCTATGTATATTTTGGGTGTACACATGTGGATTCTATGCAGATCGACACTTGAATGCTTTGGAGGCAGGAAGGCCAACCTGCAAGCCCCATAGTTAAATGACTACGGGCAAGACTCTGCTTATGACCTGACTTTGATCCCAACAAAGTCAGGTAGTTGCTCAAGGTTGACTCAGCCTTCCATCCTTCCCAGGTTGCTAAAATGAGTACCCGGGTCATGGGAAGAGGGGGGGGAGGAGTTGCTTAAATATTGCTTGCATAATTATGTTGCAAACAGCCCAAAGAGTGCTCTAGCACCATGGGGCAGTATGTAAGTTAAAATAACCAACGAACCTCAGCAATTCCCTCCATGT